GCGGGTGCTCTGCAGCAAAGGTGCCCTGCGACAATGGCGCGGGTGCTCTGCAGCAAAGGTGCCCTGCGGCAATGGCGCGGGTGCCCTGCAGCAAAGGTGCCCTGCGGCAATGGCGCGGGTGCCCTGCAGCAAAGGTGCCCTGCGGCAATGGCGCGGGTACCCTAAAGAAAAGATGCTCGGCAGCAAAGGTACAGGCACCCTGCAGCAAAGGCATGGGCTCGCTAAAGAAAAGGTGCCCTGCAGCAAAGGTACGGGCACCCTGCAGCAAAGGTGCCCTGCGGCAATGGCGCAGGTGCCCTGCAGCAAAGGTGCCCTGCGGCAATGGCGCGGGTGCCCTGCAGCAAAGGTGCCCTGCGGCAATGGCGCGGGTGCCCTGCAGCAAAGGCACGGGTTCCCTAAAGAAAAGATGCCCTGCAGCAAAGGTGCCCTGCAGCAATGGCACGGGCGCCCTGCAGCAAAGGTGCCCTGTGGCAATGGCGCGGGCACCCTGCAACAAAGGTGCCCTGCGGCAATGGCGTGGGCACCCTGCAACAAAGGTGCCCTGCGGCAATGGCGCAGGCGCCCTGCAACAAAGGTGCCCTGCAGCAAAGGTGCCCTGCGGCAATGGCGCCCTGCGGCAAAGGTGCCCTGCGGCAATGGCGCGGGTGCCCTGCAGCAAAGGCGCGGGTGCCCTGCAGCAAAGACGCGGGTGCCCTGCAGCAAAGGCGCGGGTGCCCTGCAGCAAAGGCGCGGGTGCCCTGCAGCAAAGGCGCGGGTGCCCTAAAGGAAAGATGCCCTGCAGCAAAGGTGTGGGCACCCTGCAATAAAGGTATGGGCACCCTGCAGCAAAGGTGCAGGTGCCCTAAAGAAAAGATGCCCTGCAACAAAGGCCCTGACGCCCTGTGTCTCCCCTGTACAATGTGTGATAGCACCCGGTGATAAACACAGTGTCTGACAGATGATGTTCAGGGGCTCTGGATAGAGTCTCCCCCTAGGCTGTGTGGATGAGAGACAGAGAGCTATTTATAGTCCATGTTTTCTTTAGTCTGTCAGAGGATTGAGATATATATGTTAAATAAGCTGTGCTGGAAGGTCGGCCAGTATGCACCAGTCACAACTCCCCCACTGCCAGGTACCTCCTTCCCAGCCAGCCGCTCCCGCAGCGCCTGGTTCTCCCTGCGGAGCCGCTCGTTCTCCCGCTGCGCCTCCTTCAGCTGGGCCTCCAGGCTCTGCAGGTACTCCTTCTTCTTCTTGCGTGACTGACATGCGGACTCCCGGTTCTTAATCATGCGCTGCTGCCTCTTCAGCACCTTCATCTGAGGAGAGGGGAGGCATTTACATTACCAAGGATACAAGGAGGCATGTGTACCGACATTAATGCTGTACAGACACAAACAGACACAGAGATAGAGACGTACGTCGATGTCGTTGGCGCTGTTCCCTGGCAGAGACGTGGCGGGAATGATGGGCTTGGCAGCGGGGGTGGCAGGTGGCCCGGCGCAGTGGGGAATGCTGGGTGATACAGGCTCCACCTTGACGATGGCTGGGGTCGAGCCAAGGCAGACTGACTGCGAGAGCACAACTGGGGGGGGGGAGGAGGGAGGGGAGTTCAAACTGAGGGAGGAGGGCAGATCTGCAACCATAACAGCCCAACACAGCCCCCGGAAATGTTTCTGATTTCACATCAGAAACATTTACTGCATGAATCGGGACTTAAATGAAAACATGTCAGGCACATAATCTGTTATTGCAAATTTGGCCCATACAACTCGTCCATGTTCATAACTGTATGTATATTTTAAACTGTATTTCTCACTGCATTTTTCTATGTCTTCATTAGGTTCTCATTGTGTTACTTGCACTATAACCAACAAGATCATACAGCTGAAGGTGAGGATAAAGATACTTCGATTTGACTTTGAGAAAGAATGAAATCCAGTACATCTGTATGGCGCCCTCACCAGGTCGGTTCTGGTCCATGCCAGGCAGGCCCTGGAGGATGAGCGTCTTGGCAGGACTGGGGCTCTGCGGGACAGGCAGGGCAGCCACACACAAGGGCCGGGGCTGGATGGGCGGCTTGCTGCTCAGGATGCTGTTGGCTTTGAGGGCTGTGGCCGAGGGCACCGCTGGACCTACGGGACCTGCTGTGGGGCGGGAGGCAGGGCGCGTGGGCGGGGTGAGAGGCGGGGCGAAGGAAAAGCAAGGCGAACAGACAAGGGACACTGATGTCACTTGCCGAATGCAAGCAGTCGGCAGTACTGTAAACAAGGGCTGTACTGATGTTCATGTTCAGCATGTTCTGCTATTTATGTTTGCAGGTTATATTTGCCCATATTTTGGGCAAATATCTTCTCAGGACACAAGGGCTCCACATTTAGAGCTACACTACCTACCGGCTTTAGCCATTACCGGGCAGTGGTGAAGTGTAACACTGCAGATATTAAATGTGTATTTGGGGAGGGGGGGTGTTCTCACCTGGGGCCTGCACTTGTGGGTCAGTGCTGGTGTGCGTGGCAATGTGGGCCGCCTGGGACTGCGGCTGTGCAGATGGGGTCACCGTCACCTGTAATGTCCCTACTGGGGGTGACAGGATGTCCCCGAACATGTAGGGGGGAGTCGGCGGGTTCTCCCCTTTCACCGTCACCTGGGAAATGGAGGACGAAACTTGAGGTGTGCCTGTGAACACGCAGGGTTACCGCATACACGCTAAAACACGCTGACCGTACGCTACGGCGCACTAAGAGTGGGACGGTTTATGTGGTACGTGACACTGCACCTGGATTGATTACACATGCTGATTTACCCACGGGACAAGAGAGGGGACAAGGCAGGGGACAAGAGAGGACAATCCTACAGGAGGCTCACCTGGGAATCCGGGGTGGACGTCAGAGAGCAGTCAGACCCCAAGGAGGACGCTGGGGAGAGGGGCTCGGCCTTCACCTGAAACACTGTGGGACAGACATGTTGTTGAAAATGGCGGTAACATGGGCATGTATCCCACTTCACATCCTGTATCTGAACCCAGAACCATACAGAGCTTTACAGCCCAAACAAATACAGCGAGCAATGGACCAGCTCTGCTGAAATATGGATGCGTATTTCTGCCAGGGGAAAAAAGTGAGAGCTGAACTGTCAAGGTGCTAAAATTATCCATCTTAAGAGTGAAATACTAGCTGCAGAATTTCAACATATACAACTAAACATGTAGTCTCTCTCTCTCACACTCACGTGCACATGAATGCGTGCATACACGCATGCACGCACACACACACACACACACACACACACACGCTTCAGAAGAACTTACACATATCCACGGGTAAGGGCTGCGTAATGGTTGCATCATCTTTTAAAACAGGGTTTTCCCCTTAAGACAGAAAGTGGGGGAAGAGAGAGAAAGGGCTTCATATTAGAACAAGATTAAACACGTGGCTTTAACACCACTGAAACAAGGTGATATCTGCCTCCCAAACTCTACATGCAAATGAGCCATATGTGCATTTAAATGTCTGCCAATGGCTTCCAATCAACCTAAATATCGCCATGAGCTGTCCATTGCAAAGTTGGTTTACCTGAACATACTGTAGATATACGCTGATCCCTAATCTTCACTCAAGCTCATTATCAGATCATTATCATTTCAATCTAACTCCTCTAACAAATCCCATCATGGTCGAAATTCGCTATTACAGCCTGCTTTCTTCTGAGGCCTCGGACCCTGCTCAGGATACGTGATTTTAGTGAAGTGCCGGAGATTTCTGTCAGTTTTTAATTTCTTTGGCGGGGGGGTGGGGGGGTTATCATGCTCGGTAATTTCTGTAATGATGCTAAACAACAGCAACAACGACACAACTTAACTTAAATACACAAATGGATAAAACACAGTTAATATAATACTAAGAGAATTAAATAATACCAAAGAGAAACTTGTAATACTTTAAAAGCACTTTTTCATGATTAGGGTTAGAATACAAACACACCCTCACACAAATGAAGCACACTACATACTGCATTTTTGTCATTTTGGGTTTATTTTCCATGTATCCCCCATTTACAGGACACTGCAGTACTCTTTACCTGTTAGAAGGTTATCGTTAAGGTGTTTCCATGGCGACGTAGGGTTGTCAGGATCAAGTGTAAGGACGAGATCGTTATCAAACTAGTGGGGCAGAAAACCATGAAAACAGGTCAGTAAATAAATAAGTGCAGTGTGCAGCAGCATTACACCAGCTACCTCAACCGGTTATTAACCAGTTTACCAGCTTGTGTCAAGTTCTTCCTCATACCCAAAATGTGGAAAATAAAACCGGCTGCACCCATCACCTCAGTAATACATTTTGTGAGTACATACAGCCTTTTCACAGATATATATTTATATCTTTAGAGTGACCACAAAGGCCCAAAATAGGTGACTGCAAAGATAACACATAAGCAGCAAGTTCTCTCCCACATTTACTGAGTTACCACCACTATAGATGCCCTGTCTGCAAAGAAATTCAATTCAGGAGGTTTCAAACAGCCCTATTGTATCAGATAATTCCTCTGCACCATTCTTACCATGGTGTTGTATTTCATCCCTCCGGTGTACTCCGCATCCTCTCCCTCCTCCATGCTCTCACACTGGTACAGACAGGCATCTGACAGAGATGGACAACACAGTGAAATCAGTGCCACTGCCAGCGTGTTTGAGAACTGCATCCATGCTTCCGAAGTCCCTAACACTAGAGGTCAAAATTGTGGAAACACTTCCAATTTTTAGAGACTGCATAACTTTATTCAACTGTTACTCCAGTTACTTGTTACTTGTCCAACGTACGATATTTGTAAAAACATAGCACTGATATTTGTAACATCAGACCATCTGCAACCTTTAAAAATTGGAAATGTTTCTACAATTTTGGTCATTAGTGTAGGATTTCCCACAGATCTTTGAGGTCCCTTATCCAGGGTGACATACTTGTTAAAGGACTGGACACGCAGCCAAAATTCTGCAGAATCCTATGAAAGTTCCTGTTGAAGCATCAATCCAATATTACTTTACTGAAATATCCATTATGTAAATAAAAGCACTACTATATTAATCATTCAGATATTTATGGCAGAAAAGGTTTTTGGGGAAAAACAACCTTTTTCCAATTATGACTACTTTGGGAACTGTTATTGAAAAACAACACGCAACATAAAGAAAGCAATACGTTGCATATGTTTGTGTTATTGCAGGGCAACTCTAATACAGCTAATATTCCGATTCGCTGTCAATCGTGAGCGAGACAGACCTGTCGATGCTACAACAAACAAACAGATCGTAGATTAAGAAACTGCAAACAAATGAACCACCGTAACGCGGTACACTGTTAACGGGTTATATTAATGGGTAACGAAGGCTTTCGGCTGAACTGAAAGACGCAGTGCATGCTCAAAAACCAACAACTGGCTTTAATATGTCGCTCATGACGCGTATTTGTTTACTTTCCCCCCTATAACTGAGTTACCAATTAGGAGCAGCTAAAAATTGCCAGATGTGATACAGAAGTGACATGACACCTATGAATGAGAGATCGCACTCTTCAGCAGCACCCCGCATGCATGCATTTAGTCAGCAGCAGCGGAGTAGTCACACTCAGCGCGCACTGCATCGACATTTCCGGTAAGCCAGGCTAGGCAGCTACACAGTCAACAAATACGGCAAAGACGTCCAGCTACCTTCCGCTTTTAACACGCCATACAGAAACGGCTGTCAGTCAAACGACACGCTCGGGCATATACGCTGTTCGGTGGGCAGTCGGTGGAGTTGAGGGTCGCACAATCGTGAAACCACGACGGGGAAAGTGCATCCATTCACCATATCCAACCACGCGACCCTGAAACGATGCCGATGCGATTCTTTTGGACACTTGACCGTTACTCACCCCAGTCTTCGCTAGTGAGAAGGTTATCGGCGAAGAAACGGCTGTCTAAATCGGACAGTAATTCTGTAGTCATAGCCTCCCGACTGAGCCTGCTACAGCTAATAAGCGCTAGCTACCAGCTAAACCCCCGATCAAACAAAAAAAAATCCCACACACTAGATTTGGTTAGTATGCACAAAGATTAAACTTTCGAAAATTACACATATGTAAAACAAAACATGTACTGTATGTAATGCTGTATTTACAGATTACAATTTAATAACTGAAACGCACTGTCCCACAAAACACACGGACAAGGAAACACATTTTTTTTTCTATCGCATCCCGCCTTCGACTGTCAATAATAGCCAATCGAAACAAAGTATTTAGATAGACATCTTTGTTAACCATATAGAAACTACAGATTTTCTAATTGGTCAATCTTAAAACCAATCTGTTTTTAGACTGTATTAAAAACCCACTTTAAAGATGATTTTGCCCAATCATATGCTAGATTACCGACTGACATGCATTTTAACCAATAGCTATATTGCTATTGCAGTAACACTGAGTTGGCAAGATACGTCGACCAATACATACTGAAAAGAAAGTATCCACTTTTGTCTGTTTAAAATATGAAATCTTAAATAAGGCTGGAAAGCTTTGTAATTTACGGCCAACGTAACTGAATACTTTACTTTAATGTTAATATGAAGCTAGGGCTATGTTAGGATAAATTCTTTACAATATATCGCAATATGAATATCAAACCACAAAATCTTGCGAACGGACAGTTCGAAAGCAACGTGTTTTAAAACTAGTCAGTTTTTGACGCGTGAGCTCGAGTTCTTATGTAACGCCGTGGCAATGAACCTGCCAGGATTTACACATGAATATTCAGGATAATTTTCAGTCAGCAATTTATGCAAATAGTTTGTTCTCGTTATTCCAGCAGTTGTAAACTTTAATTTCTTTGAAGTAGTACATTACAGCTGGAACTGTAATATCCATGGAGACTGGGAAAAGATGAGTGAACCCTAAAATTACAGGGGCAGTCTGTGTCTCTGTAGGTTAGGATGCTGCGTCTGTGATCAGAGGTTTGACAGAGTGATTCCACCTTTGGGCCCTTCACCCAGGCCCTTAACCTTCAGTTGCTCCGGGGAGTGTCTGACCCTAGCCCCCCCATAAAGAAATTATATATGATGCTTTGGTCTACTAAATAAAATAAAATGCTGGGTCTTAAGAATTCCAATAGCAATGCTGCAATTTGTCAAAAAACTCAGGTGGTCTTTATGGATACCTTGCCTACTGTCTTTACCATATACCTCGACATTAAAATGTTTTCTTTTTATTTCATCAAATCAGCTGAGACTAATATGATTATCATCCACCCATTTACCTTACCACGTGTTCTGGTCAGAGAATGTGGTGCCTACCCCAGACAGCATAGGGCAAAAGGCTGTGGTACACCCTAGATGGGATACCAGTCCATCACAATCTATTTTAATTATGTAGTTCAAATCCTCTAAATAAACTGTGAATATGAGACCAGTATATTTTGTTATCTACCATAATTTTTTCTCTGGGCCGTGTTCCTGTGCCTCATCATTGGGTGACCAATGATATATTTCTGGCTATGATTAACGTTATGTAGATGTCACAGTCTATTTATATGCTGGGGAATACCCTGGATTGGATTTTTGACCACTTCATGGCACATGCACACAATCACAAATTGTACTTTATGAGATACCAGTTAACATAACTGCATGTATTTGGGCTGCAGGAGGAAAGCCATGTGACACAAGGAAAACATGCAAGCTGCACACACACAGCAAAGGTAAAGGTAACGTAAGGAGCATGATTACAGTGTGCTGCCGCACCCACCACACAACAAACCACCTCAGGGATGAGAACCTGAGTGCAGCCATGTGGCGGGTGATACCTCAGCACCACACTAGTCTAAATGGACCAGTGTGAGTTTTTTTCCAGTGGCTGGAGTGTCAATCCTGCCACCAACCCCCAAGTTATACCCTGTAAGTTGGAGGACCTCCTTATAGGGCTGGATGTAGATTAACGTCACACAGCAGAGACAAGATTCAAATATGCCGACCTAATGTGGTTGTCCGTTAAACTGAAATTTCAGGCTGTACTTTACTATACTACAGTACTATAAACTGTACTGCTGTATACTGTAACAGTGCTGCCCCTTGTATAACCATAACTGGTTACTTTGTGTCCTTTCTGCAGAGCACAAGCTTAGAATTTACATATTTTCCTTACTTTTTTGTCATCTGCCTCGGCAACAGATACTACTCTATTAGAAAACACGCACAAAAATAAATGAACAGGAATACAGAAGCAGCAACTGTGCCAACTTCTCCATTTTGTGTTGAAAAACAATGGGACCATTGTCTATCAAATAATTAAAGTTACCAATCAGGTGTCAGTGATTAACAATAAAGCCACTCCCTATGGGTTGCAGAGTCCCATTTCTCCCACCACCAGTAAATAAAGCATATGCATTATGCTTTGTCTGTGCATGAAGTATTACCTGCAGTATTGCATGCAGTATTGCATTTTTGTTACCGTTTTAGGTACATCTACCATCTGCAAAGCAACAGAAACTACAAAACATAATGATGAAACAGGACAGACCTGGAGACCTAATGGTGGTAAACATTCTTTACTTGAAATATGTCATATATGTAAGAAAGCAGTAACTATATATAAATATTAGTTGTTATAATTAATATAATTCATTAGTACATCTGAAAGCTTCAGCTATATTCTGTAATATAAACTATAGTAACAAGCAAAATGTTCAGAAGGAAATATATCTGGGTTCCAAATGGTCTGGAGTAACTGAAGTGATTCCACTGTGATACTCTGCACAACTCAGCGATTTCACTGCCTCATGTTGTTTCCATTTCAGCATGGTGGATAGCAGGAGCTTCTGTGCTTTCTGTTGGCATGGTTACAGGGCTCTGTGTCAATGTGTGGAAATGCCATTCCAAGAGAAAAGGTAGGATGCAGGCTCTCCGGGGTCTCGTCTCTCATTGGCTAAGGCCACGAGGACATGCACCTATCCCAGGCTTTGTTTTCTGTTCGCTCTGACCCTTAATTGTTTAAGGTAGATTAGGTACAAAATTAATATATATTGTTGCATGATACGTATACACTTCTGAGGTTATTATTATAAGATGATGTTGTCTGGTCTACGCCAGGCAGATATCTACATAGTAAAATTATGGGTTTCAAACCACCCCTCGAAATTTGTTTGCTCCCAACCAGACACATAGCAGATAGTAAAGTAAGGAATTTGAACCCCCCCTCTCAAACCGCATGGTTTAAACATTAATTCAGGGTCTACGGGATGTCCATGCTTGGGAAATGCTATTCCTCTAGCATGGATTATTTGTAAATTTCCTGTTTTTTATTTCTATTCCTTTCCTTAAGATTGATTTTATAAAAAGTATTGTTATTTTTTAAATTCAGATATGTCTAACTTAAACGTTTGTGCAAATTTCTCTCCAATATTTTAGCAGCTACAGAGCAGGAGTCAGAGGATGAGCATGTTTACGAATCCATAGAGGACACAGAAACAGACACACCTTACGGTTAGTGTAGTTTGGGCACTTAAGCACATAAGAAAGCGTAAAAAAGGACGTGTTCTAGTCATACGGATGAAAGCATGAACTAATCATTGCCTTAGTGACACTGTTATGCATGTTAAAAATATGGCTGTATCTTTAACATATAGTAGTCAGTTTACAGTTGAGCATTTTTTGAACCACTAAGTAGGCATTCTGAACAATACATGTCAGAACAATGACTTTTGAAAATGTTTTCTGTTTTTCTATCCACCTTACAGGACATACACTGTATGGACAAAAGTATTGATACACATTTCTTAACCACTGAATTTTGGTGTTTCATTCAGACCCATTGCCACAGGTGTATAAAATCAAGCACCTAGCCATGCAGGCAGGTTTACAAAGATTTGTGAAGGAATGGGTCATTCTGAAGAGTTCAGTAAATTCAAGCATGGTACAGTCATAGGATGCCACCTTTGCAATAAGGAAGTTTGTGAAAGTTCTTCCCTGATAGATATTCCACGGTGAAGTGTAAGTAGTATTTTTGCAAAGTGGAAGTGTTTAGGAACAACCGAAACTCAGCCACAAAGTGGCAAACAGTGTAAAATAAGCAGGGTTGCAGAGTGATGAGGTGCATAGTACACAAAAGTTGCCAATGCCCTGTTGACTCAGTAACTACAGAGTTCCAAACTTCCTCTAGCATTAACCCCTGCACAAATACTGTACTGGGAGCTTCATGGAATGGGCTTCCATGGCCAAGCAGCTGCCTGCAAGCCTCACATTAGAACGCAACGCCAAGTGTCGGATGGAGTGGTGTAAAGCACAATGTCAGTGAACTCTGGAGCAATGGAAACGTATTCTGTGGAGTGATGAATCATGTTTCCCTGTCTGGCAGTCTGATGGATGAGTCTTAGTTCAGCGGATACCACGAGAACGTTATCTGCCTGATTGCATTGTGCCAACTGTAAAGTTTGGTGGAGGAGGGATAATGGTATGGGGTTGTTTGTCAGGGATTGGCTAGGCCCCTTAGTTCTAGTGAAGGGAACTCTTAATGCTTCAGCATACCAAGACATTTGGGGCAATTCTATACTTACAACTTGAGTGAGAACAGTTTGGGGAAGGTCCTTTTCTGTTCTATCTGTCCCAGTAAACAAAACAAGGTCCCTAAAAACAAGTTTTGGTGAGTTTGGTGTGGAAAAACTTGACTGGCCCACAAAGAGGCCTGACCCCAACCCCACAGAACACTTTTCGGATGAACTAGATCAGAGATTGTGAGCCAAGCCTTCATGTCCAATATCAGTGCTTGACCATACAAATGCTCTTCTGGATGAATGGGCACACTCCAAACAGACACACTCCAAGATCTTGTTGAAAGCCTTTCCAGAAGAGTGACAGCTGTTATTGATGTAAGGGGGGGCAAATTCACATTGATGTCCATGGATTTAGAATGGGATGTCATAAAAGTTCCTGTAGGTGTAATGGCCAGGTGATCCTAAATTGTTGTCCATGTAGTGTATATACTGTGTATATATTATACAGTGTTCTTTCTGAGCAAACTGATAGCCATACAACATCCTACTTTATAGTTTAACTATAAGGTGAGATATCCATATATCACTCAAAGGTTTTAAAAAGTGATCTTTAAAATGTTTTTAAAATCATTCCATTTGGTTGCTGGTTAGATCCAAGTACAAATTTAGGTTTTCTTTGTATTTGTTTCAGAACCTTTGCTGATACCACACCAGTCTGACTGCACTACTTTGAATATGAATTTTAGGATTATGGCACCAATTGTTCCTTGTCTAAATTAACAAATTGTACTTTTTTTGTTTCCACAGGTTCACTGAAACCAAATGAGAACAGTATCAACTGATAACACAGAAGTGAAAGTTAAAGCTTCCGCAAAACACAGAGTTAATCCCTGGGTCAATAGTCACTTATCATTCTGCTCAATGTAATCAGGGTATTGGATCAGTTGTTCTGTTCACATCTCAATGTGAAGTGTCCTCATACCCAGGTCTTTTTTTCTGAAAAATTAAATGTGTTTGGAATGTTAAAATCAGCTTTACAACTAGCAGTAGCTGACCACCATATTATTGTGTAGAACATTCTCGACTTTATTTACAGTATTTACAGTTTATTTACAGTATATTCCTCTAACATAGATGGATCCAGTTTTTATGTTTCTGAAATATTGGATTAAATTCACTGGCAAACTTAACTCAGCATGGTGCATGAAAGTCTTTTACACTTTATTGAGAATTAGCAAAAAGTCTGCCAAGTAATGAAAAAGCTTCCGTAATGACAAAGATCCAATGGTCTGAACAAGGTAGAAACCCAAAGTTAATGTTTCAAAAAAAGTTCACAGAAATCTTTAACACAATAGAAGCAGATCAAAATACTGTGTGTGTGTGTTTATATTATCACCAAATGTTCCCCACAATGTAGCAAAAACCTGTTATTTTGAGATTTTGGGTTTCAATTTTCAGGTACCCACAAAGAACTGTGGATGCAGTCAAAAAACTAAAAATGCCAAAAATCTTGTATTTAGTTTGGCTACTTGTGGTTAAGGTTAGGGCTGGGTAAGGGTTAAGGTCATCATGTTGGGATTATAGTTTTCCCCACAAAGATGACACATTCTTAAGGAACAATAAAGGTGAAATGTTCTGTGGGGGTGGCGTGTGGCTCTGCCGGGTTAGGGTTAGGGTCAGAGTGCCCGTGACCAGAAGGTCTCAGGTCAAATCCCTTGGTCAGTCAGCAGAGTAATCTCAGCATTGGGTTCAGCAAGGCCCTTAGCCCGATTTGCTGCAGACACTGGTGACCTCTAGTTCCTCACTTGTATGTCATTTTGCATAAAAGCAATTGCTACTGTAAATAAAACATATTAAATGTAATGTTCTTTAAGGTGCCTGGAATATTTGTTGTTCTTAATGAGGATAATCCTGACAGGTATGGATTTCTGTATGAAAATGCTGCTGTTTTTAATGAGTTTCATTCACTGGATTATTTCTGTTTCTTTCTTGTGATGATTTACTTCCTCCTTGGATATTTTGACCATTTTCCACTGTTACTCAACAACCTACTTATATTAATAGGGCATCTCGCATCACACTCGAATATGCAGTTAACAACACGTACATCCCATTCTGTTTGTGGAAGAATGACATGAGTATAGAAATATATAACCAGCTTAATTAATTATTTACCATTTATTGTGAGAATGTGATTTTGCAAAGATATATTACATATATTTGTGAAAGCCACCAAAATCAAAGCATGTAGCATATGTGCACTATATATGTACATCGTTAATAATATACTTTGTTTTCATCACTATAGTGAAACATGGAATTATTATGATAGATCCTCATTGCTGTTTCTTTTGATGCTGGAATAGCAATTATTATTTTCATAATAGGAACTTGATTGACAGGTAGCTGTTTGGTACTGGCAGATAAAAGCAGAAGTTGCAGGACAGGAAACAGGAAACTTGAAGGAGAAAGAGGAGAAGCACCATGAGGGCTGAGATACTTCTTCAGATGTTCTTCTCTGCTTCAGTAAGGGCCTCAATGGGTATGTTTTCTCTTCTGTTCCTATTCGGCTGCCAGGAAGTTTTACAGAAAAGATATTGATTGTTAGGTGGCATTTGAACCTCAGGTTTTTTTTTTTAAATAGTCTGTTTGAATCTGGGTAGTAAAGTGGAGCAGTTACCAGTACAGTTGCATCACACATCCAAAGTTTGACTTTTGCCACCCACACTCAGATTTTCCCCCACTGTTCAAAGACATACAGTCAGGTGAATTGGTATTTCTGAATTGCCCATACTGCCATACAAAGGCAAAACACCATTACTAGATACTTTATTAAAACTGAGTTATGACCCAGAATTTGACTCTATTTTATCTTGTGACAAAATATCTTAGTTGAACTATGTTCATGTTTTGAAGAAAATGGAGTGTGAAAATTAAAGTAACTGCAAAATCGTTTTTCTCAATTTCAGTATTGGTGCAGTTACTGTGTTGTCTATACGGCAGCAGAGAGCGTGTGTGTGTTGTGTATATTGCAGCAGAGAGCGTGTGTGTTGTGTATAAGGCAGCAGAGAGCGCGTGTGTGTTGTGTATAAGGCAGCAGAGAGCGCGTGTGTGTTGTGTATAAGGCAGCAGAGAGCGCGTGTGTGTTGTGTATAAGGCAGCAGAGAGCGCGTGTG